GTATAGGAGAGACCAGCCTGGAGAAGGAATGAGCCTCTGGACAAATGGCCGACCGCACATTGTATGTGCGTGTGCCTGCGCTTTGTTTAAAAGCTAAAACTAACTTTCAGTATTCCCCACACACGGACGACTATTTAAATGTACATACTATATAACTAAGTATGGAGCGAACATCTATTGCAATCTATTGTGCTGGCTCTTGTTTACATTAGGCATACAGTGCGTATGCGCAATCAGCCAATGTGTCGGACATTTCTATAGAATTAAAGTGAAACCTCCCCTAAACAAAATGTAATCGAAGGAATTAATTTTCTTTTAAATGTACTGTAAAAATTGTAAAGAAGCACTATCTCGTCGGTTGAAAAATTTTAAATGAAATTCCTGGTAAGCTACTAGGGCCAGACATAATCGCGTTTAAAGGCGAATGATTAAACTTCATGTTGAATTGTTAATCAAATTGTTGAACTTTTTGTGTTAGCAGAACTAGTGAAGGCCTAATCAGTTTCAATCGGTCAATTAAGACGTGTTTTCATAATCGGTGGTATTAATTTAAAAAAAAGGTTTCAAAAATTAAAGTCCATTGTCTTGTTTTTAGGAATATCTTAGTTTTTTCAAAAAACTTTTTTATTTTGACAAAAAGGCTCTACGTCTAAATTTGTCGTAATTCAATACATCATACTTTTGAAATCATAAACGAAATTAGAGGTTAATAAGTGTGACTGAAAGTGTGGCTAATGCTTGGCAAGATTTGCATGTGGAAGAAGTGTATAAAGTGTACGAATATAACCCAGGATGGGGATTCAAAATAAATACCTATACGACTCACCTATTTACTTTCACGTCCTAAAAAAACACATCTATCAGTTAGAACACTCCATGTTCAGCTTCAAAAATACCTCAAATATCCAAAAATTTTAATATCACATTTAAATTATATATTTTTAAAAAGAAAAGAGTTCTAAGAAAAAAAAAGTAATATGATTCTCTTTTATTTTTTAGGTACTATACATATGTAAATCTATATGTTTGCCAATTGAATTGCAAATTCATTTTAAAGAGCCAACACTGTATAATATATAGTATGTGTGGTTCTGTGGAAAGCCTTTCAGCTGCCTGCTGGACTACAATGTACACAGCCGACCAAGCGAGAGGCAGAGCTGCGGACCAAGCGACCAAGAAAACGAGAGACCCGGAGACCGACAGACCCACCGACATGTTGTTTGTCTGAGCGCAATTTATTGCATGTCGGAAAGGCCAATATTATAAGATGATGACCCCCGAAGATAAACGATGTTGCGGCTTAGCCGCCGCATGTTCACACACACACACACACACACACATATACACACGCACGCACACATATGTACAATCGTGGGCTGGCTCGTATTGTGTGCAACTTCTTGCAGAAGTTTTGCAAGTGTGTACCTAAAAAGCGAAATTAGAACTGTAAATGGCGTTAATATTGAAACTTTGTTGCCAGCCTAGCGGGTTAGCTCTCCTCAAACGTTGCCTCTCCACTCCTGTCGACTCGAGCCCATCTGTTTGCACAACTTCAACTTTTGCGGCACGGTTTCATTTCCGCTTTTCCAGCAATAGTTTTAAGCGTCGTGCGCTCCATCAAAGCGTAATGAGCGTTTGTGTAGCCACAGTGACGGGGTTTTTGTGTTTTTCAAATTTTATTGCATACAAGTTGCGAGTTATTGCTGTTGTTGTTATTTTTTATTGTTGTTGCTGTTGCTGCTGGCAACCGCAGTGGAAAATCAGCAAAGCATATAAAATGTTTGAGAGTCGGACAATTTAAGCTTAAGCGCTTGATGCTTGGCATTTGGTTTCAAAAATTCAAGAGCCAATTAATTAAATCGATTTGGGCCAACTCGAGTGCTTAAATATGGAAATGTTTGCAAAAAGAAACAAGCTTAAAACAAATATACTAAACAAACATAATGCCACACAAAGCTCCAGCAAAACAACAACAACAACAAAATAATAAAAATAAAAAAGGAAATGCACAATCAGTGTGTAAATAAAATGCACGATGAATAACTGCTTTATTATACACTCTAGTATGTATTTGTAAAGCATTTGGCACTTGATGGCACTTGACAATTTTGTGAAAATATGTGGCATAAATTATTTAATAATATTTATGTGGCACAAGAAAAACACACATCCAACTACACATAAGTAATGAATGTAATGAATTAAATCGCACGACGGAAGACGAGGCGGGAGGGACCGCTAGACATTTGCCTAGGCAAATGAAAAGTAAGTGTAGCATACGCTCCGACGCTTTTTTGTTTATTTTGCATCTTGGAAACTCAGTTGGATTTATTCAATTTCTTAGATTAAAAATACACACCTACTCGCACATAAATACTTACATATACTCGTACTATATAGTATGTATAAGTGCGTATATATGTATGTATGTATTTTTCTTATGAACATATATCATAACCTCAGGCGCAAATGACGGCAGAGGACCAAGGATTGACAGGCGGTAGAAATGAGGGGAAAGGGCAAGCGACCGTAGTGGGGACATGGGGACAGACGACGCATGTCTGCGACTGGCATTGATATGTAAGGATACCTACTTACTTATACACATATAAATTCAAATAAAATGATAATGACGAAATGTCTCAATGTTTGCTTAGACTCCGCATGCGTGCGTGTGCGTGTGTGTGTGTGAGTGTGTGTATGCATGTGTGCGGGTTTTCTTTGCTGCCACTTGCTAAGACATAAAATTACTTTTTAAAACTGTGAAGCGCCGCAATTGCTGCCACACACACACACACACACACACAAATAAACACACACAGGGTGATACGCACAAACCCTTATAAGCATTTGCAAGGAATTTTCATATGGTATGCAAATATGCACGCATACTCACGCAAACGCACTCATCCTTTTTACTCATTTTCAAGTGATTTTCTTTCAATTTTATGAGCTTTCGTCATAAAATGAAATGAAAATGCGCATAAATTTCTGAAGTGCCAAACCATAGCCATCATCATAATCAACATCCATATTATGCTCACACGTGCGTCCCAGTTTTGCTTTTGTTTTAAGTATTGCTTTTAAAAATTCTATCAATTATTTTTTTACACTTTATGGTTAGGTCCATAAAAATAACGTTCAGCACTTATTTGAGTTGCACCTGCTTTAGCATTCAATGCCTTCAGTTCTGGGACCATAAAAAGTGTATCCATAAAAGAACATACATGCTCTCCCTCACATACACACACCACCTAATCACAGTGCTTCGTGGCACATAAAGCAAGCGTTATTAAAAACACAGAGTCACAAAAATGAAGCAAATGCCTTTTAATTATTGCATTAAATGTTGTGGCAGCAAAAAAAAAAAATCGCGCATATAATGAAATTGTCGCATGCGCTCACTTTATTAAGCCTGAGCTGGAGAACGGCCTCAGCCAAACCCTCCCCCTCCACACCCCATCATCAAAAGCAAAACAAAATGGCTGCCTTACGAATTTATTTGCCTTCGCCTTCATGCCAAGGTTCGTCCACGCTTAATACATTTCTGCATTCATTCTTTTTTCTATCCTGCCTCTTTGCCTTTTTATTATTATCCAAAAGCCCGCAGCTATAATTTTGTTGCAAAAATGTTTCCATGTATCGTCTTCAGCTCTTCCCCCTCTCTTGACCACATGCTTCTCAGCTGCTGTCTACAACGTTGTCTGCGTCTTCGGTTGGGCAATGAAGTGCATGAGAAACGCAAATGAAATTATTTGTTCTGCTTTGCTTGTAGTGATGGCCCATGACCATCGCCAGACACTTACACCCACACACTCTGCTCTAGACATAAAGTATACTCTAACTGTTTGGGCTTGAGTTTTTACGAGTATAGAGCATTCTATGTATGTATGTATGAGTTTCGACCACTGGTCTGCCTTATCTCCGTCTGCCCTTGCTTTCGTCTTCGTCCGATGCTGCTTACGCTAAATCCTTGTTATATACAAATAATCTTGCACACACGACCGCATTTAAATTGAAAAACGTACATGGCACTACTCAAATGCGACGTCCGCCATGTCGACGAGTAGAAGATGAAACCAAAAAAAAAAAAAAAAAAAAACACAGCAAAAATAGAAGAAACCAAAACAAAAACGCCATAACCACTACACATATCTTGGACCTAGTCGCTTGCTGGTGTTGGGGGCGCTTGTTTCAGAGTAGTTTCGTTTCATTTCATTTCAGATTCTTCTTTTTTGCCATCTTCTTGTGGCTTATATAAGCTCTTCGACATCGGTATTGTGCTGAAATGTGGCTGGAACTTTATGCACACATAAATATATAAGCACATTTATGTAGAGTCGTGCATATTTGTGGTCAAGCGTGGGAAGAACGCAGTCACACACTTCGTGTAGGGTTAATTATATGTAAGGGGAGCGCCAGGCAACTTTTGTATGCCAGCACAAGTTGCTTTATTCGCAAAACTAAAATCTGGCTGCGTGGAATTAAATGTTCTCTCTACCCAAAGTATCAGAAACTGAGTTTTTATTTCGGTAGTTTGTATCTTGGCTTATATTTTTTTTATTAACTTGTCAATATTCTCAACATCTATCTATAAAAAAGCTTTTTCAGTTAATTCGTTTAATTTTAATGCGTGTGTCTGCGATGATTATTTTTAAATTTATTCAAATAGGTTAGTCCTCGTTGACAATCATGCTAAAGGAATGACAAATAATGAGACTTATTTATTTTCGTTTCAAGATGCAGTTTTGAAAACAACAGCTCGTAATATATAGTTTACTAACCAACTATATTTAAATGTAAGGCAGGTATAGTATGTAGATTAGAGTTACGAAAACACGCCCCTTTAGTGTTTCTTTTCTTATTTTTTGAGTTTCTAGCCACTTGTTCTAGTTTTTAAATGTTACAAATTATCAAAATAAATTATAGGTCGACAAATAATATTTCATATATTTACAAGTAGTTCTTCTTACTGCTTCTTCTTCTGATTGTTTACTCACCGGTATTGGCCACTTCACAAGGCAGCACTATTGTTTCTCCTGCTATGAATTTGAAAGTCTCCGAGCGCGATATAAACATGGGCTCGCTCTTGCTCATCAGTCCTTGGGCCGAAGCTGTGGCAAAAAGAAGAGAATATGCATGAGAATGTAAAGGCCAATAATATATTACGGCAAGTGGCAGGCATGTGAAATATCAAGCAAATTGCTCAAACTATTATTACGACAAGCGCACGCACACACATCACATTTGGGGTTTATGTCCAGACATAAAACGCAGCGACAACAACTGTCAAGGCATAACGGACTTGAGAGAGAGACAGACAGACACGCAGACAGACCGACAAGCAGGCAGACGGAGAGGCATCATCAAAATCCAAAACATCATCAGGCAATGCCTGGGTGCACACGTAGTATGTGTGCGGCTAATTGGTTTAGTGCATTTAAGAAAATTTGTCAAATGTCACAAAGTTCATAAAGTTCATTTTATTATGCACAACTAATGAAAGTTGTCAAATTTACTTTGGCATCGACACACACACGTACGCACACGAATAATTTAGTTGCAATTGCTGTTGATTTCCTAATCAATTTTAAATGTCTATACGAGTATATATAAATATTTAGTTATGTGCTGGCATGTTCATTCGCTTCGGCATTTGCCATCACTCTCTGACACTCCTCGGCAAGTAAAGTGTTAAAATGCACTAAAATATTAAAGCATACTTTTCGGCTGACGCTTGGTTCGGCTCTTGAGGTTTGATTTAATTCAATTGCACATTTATATGCGCACATGTGTTTGTTTATGGGAGCGAGAATGTGTGCGTCTGTGTCTGTGTGAATGCGAGCTTGTGCTGAATCACATGGCATGCATAATTTAATGAGTCTCAGCGGCAACATCAAAAGACACAAGCTATGCCACGACCCTCGCCCCGCACGCATATAACGAGAGCAGAATTTGAATATTTATTTAGTTTTGTAATTGGAAAATAATAATTACATAACAACTAGTAAATTGCTATATGCCATGACTATGAATAACACACCCCTCATTTGTACTGCCAGTCCACAAGATGCCAAACGGAAATGAGCATATCCGATTACAGCCTGCTTGGCCATGTAATCGATTATTTTTAGTGCGTGTGAGTGTGAATGTGTTTTTGCTCGTGTGCGTGTGCGTGTTCGTGTTAGTGTTAGTGTCGCTCCTCGTCATTTTGTGTGACACTGCAAAACGAGGATACATCGGTCACACTTCCGCACGCAAAAGCAACAACAACAACAACATCCACTCCAGAAGTAAAGGCAACAAAAAATGGCGTATAAATAAAATGCCTGGCCTACTGCTCTTGGCTGGCTTGGCTCGCCAACAGCAAAAAGCGATGGCAAACAATTTAATGCGTTTAAGCGAATGTGTCAACAGGCCAAGCCGCCTTTAGCTTTATACGTTACACTCTCTGTTGCTATTGCTGTTGTTGTTGTTGCCATTTTTTGTTCGCCCAGCTACAGACTGCGGCTTGGCATGGTGGCTTGTTGGCAGGGTGGCAGAGGGAGGCGGTCAAGGACTTTTGACACCATGACAAGACTGTGGTCCTGACGAGCAGCTCTGGAATTGAATTGATTCGATTACGCTGCGGGCACAATAATGAAGTGTCAAATGTTGTATTTATCTGCTACGAAAACATTCGAGAGCAAAGAGGGCAGCAACAACAGCGGGCACAAAATAAAGTAGGAAGTAGGTAAGCAAAAGTCGCACTTGCCTCCGTCTTTCGCACAGACTCAAAGCTCCACAGCCTCAATTCAATGCCATGTTTCCGGCATTTTATTTGATTTTGCTTTCGTTGTCGGAGTCTTGCAAAGAAGTTTCATTCTCCTACGTTCTTGATACATATACGCTTATATATATATACCTTTTTTTGTTGCTGCCGTCTCGCCTATTTGTGTTTTGTTTTGTGCTCTGACTGGGCTGCGTGTAAATATAATTTCTTTTGTATCTTTTGCGCCTCACTGCGGCTGTTGCCTGCGCTTCTCGACTTCAGGCTCAACCGTTGTCTCCCCGTTGTCGTTGTTTGTGACAATATTTTCACAAGGATAAAGGCGTTGGCAGCACGTGCCTGTGCTAGCTGCCGCTGCTGTCAATCGAATCCTTGATGCGGATAATAACGAAATAATGTCAGTTGAGTAAAGTTATTTCTTATGGCGTTTTTGCTTTTGAAGTTAGCCTCCAGAAGGGGTTTCCCATGAAGGGACCAAAGCCATATCTTGACACTCTCGAGTGCTAATAAAGTAAATGACTTTTTGTCACTTGGGTACTGATGCGCATTTAAGTGAAGGCACGCAGTATACACCAGTCATTAGAGAACACATTCGTATTTGTGTCGAGCAGAATAACTGCTGCTGTCTTGAATGTATTACAGGAATTCTTTTTGGCACAAGAAAGCTATAATGATGCATCAGCTTAATTGGCTGGCACCGCATGCGCAGTGCATTCATAAAACTTTCTATCCGAGAATCTAACAACCAGTAGAGAATCTGCAAAGAAGCTACAGTGAGACAAACGAGATCTCTCCAGCAACGCCGACTGGATACAAGAGTGTGGAAATAGTCCCGAGGAATACGTACAAGTCAGAACATTACTAAAAACCTACATTTCCGATAGAAGGGGAAGCGAAGTCTGTGGATTCCTTATCTAGACGTATGCCTGTGGTTCAGAGTCGACAGTCCTCGGGGATTCCGTTCTGCGGGAGTAACCTAATATGCGGTTTGCTAACGCAGGCATCTCCTGTCAGTGTGTGTACGCGCTCTGGTCACTAGGGTATTTGGACAGAGGCCACAGTTGAAATAATTAGTCAGGTTTGAAAATATTACAATTTGTAACATTAACAAGAAACGTAGCATATTTTTGCTTTACGCAGCTTTCACTCGAGGCTGACAATCTACATCGAAAAACACAGAGTCGAACTACGTACGAACTAGTACGTGTCTTACAACAAAACCTGCCTAATTGGAGCAGCCAACCATGTGCTATTTGTTTGATTTGCCGCGCCCAGCATTTCTTATAAGCAAACACATTTAGTAGAAGTAGGCAGTAGTGCAGACTGTGGACTCTGTCCCAAGAGCAAGTGGGTTTGTTTTTCTATGTGCTCTCAATTCAATTTCAATTTTCAGTTTTGGTGCACTCGGTTATTTTGTTTTTGCGGTTTGATATTCAAAGTTTTTCCATTAAAGTTATTCGTGTAGAATAAGAAAAGTTTTCCCCACTCACTTGCACAAACACACACACACAATACAAAACATACACACACACTCATGAACTCACGCCCATTTACACGTATTTGTAAATATTCAATTTGAGTAGAAAATTATCAAATACATTTCTGTTTCTTTTCCACAATTTGCCAGCGCCAAGCAGTTGGCCAGCACTTGTTACGTTTGCTAAATTACTGACCTTCACAGAAATGAGAATGGGAATATGGCCCCAGTGGTGCACAAAAATGTGGGCCACCGAAATTGCAAAAAAAAAAAAAAAAAATTGCAAGCACGCAAAGCACCAAATATGTAAAAATTGCTTTAGTGTTTGTAATTTTGTGAGCTGCACAACTGCACAAAAAACGAGCTAAGAAGTTATTTTCGTCTGCGCCAAAGCTATATACCCTTTATTGTGCCATAAAACAATTTCTTCATAGTTATGGGCCGCAAATTACATACGTGTACTCGTATATGTAAGCCGTACTGTTTCCATACAATTCATTTGGTATTAGAAGAACGTTGTGCCTTTTTTTAAATTTGGTCAGGCCTAAGACAACAATATCTGCATTAAACGTCGTTGTATGCAAGAAGTGGTCTTACAAAATGTTTTCTAAATCAGACCATTTCTATGACACCTACATGATGGTGATCTGGCAGTGTTTGCCTCAAGATTTGTCCATAAAAGAGGAGCTTCGGTGCAAAGTTGCAACAGGCAGCCATTGCAGCAAATATAACGTGAAGCTCACGTGAAGTTCTTCATCTTCTTGAGTGTTACCCACGTTCATTTCAAAAACAATATACTATTACATCTTTTTGTGAAGGGTATAAAAAAGTGAACACAGGTTGCAAGCTTCAAAGCTGCATACCTGCAAACAAATGCACAAAAATGTCGAAAAAGAACGAGCCAGACCAACAACAGCAACTTTAGTCATCAGCGGCAGCTTGCTGAGCATTTGCTTGCTCCTTTCATGGGAATATGGGCACAGAGGCCCCTGCCTCTGAGCTGTGGTGAATTTTGCCATCATTCTGCACAAAAATGGTTCTTCTGGTGGTCCACAGATTCTGGTTTCACTTTATTCATTAGTCACTACATATGATTAATTTTAATATTATACGAGTAAAGGGTAAAACTAAATTAAATTAAAACAAATGGAGAAACCTAGACACAGGTAGTGTATCTTTTCTTTGAAGAAAACTATAGTTTTACGAAGAAAATCAGCTAAGCAAAATATTTTGGTTTGCATTATCAGTTCGTGTTGAAAAATCGTTGGCGATCAACGACATATCATCAAATACCGTAGATTTTACTCTCTTAAAAAATATGTAGAAAACATTAAGAATGTATTTTCACTTTATGCTGTTTCTTTCAATTTTAATTCAAATATCGAAAGTAGAAATATAAGAGCCATCGATTGAACTTGACATCATTTTAGGTGAATTATATTTGAAGAAACATACACAGATGCCAGAAAAATGGTTTGAAGATGTAATGTAGTTTTTATGAAGGAATGAAAGAAGTCAACCAGCTTAAGATACCAGATCTACACGTATATACTTATCCATTTACGCCTGAAGAGAGTAACATAGAGCGTAAGTATTTAGTCAACATAAAACAAATCTGCTGACATTAATATTTTCACTCTAATTCTAAAGATCTTTTCTAAACAAGCTCAAAAATAACCACGTATAGTAGTCTAAAATTGCTCAGAAATTATTTAAAAGCTTCATCACGTTTCTGCTGTTTAAACTAAATTGTTGATCTAAAGTGAAGACAGGAGTGGTTTCAAGTTTTAGCAACGGTCGAGATGTGTTCTTAGATCATCAAAGATTTTCCCGAATCAAGTAATGTGCAAAACATTGATTTATTATATTTCGCCAAATGTGCAATGATCTGAATAGACTTCAGAATGATTTTTGGTCACTTTTAGCATTCCCCTCTGTAATAAAATAATACAACTTTGGAAAATATATATAATGTCAAAGCTATATAAATGATATTTTTGGGTTTTTTATCTGTAAAAACAAAGTAACTACCCACAGTACCAGGCATTGGAGTGCATAAAATTGCCAGCCGGCCATCCAGGCACCGCAGAGCAGTCGAAAAAATTTCATTAAATGCCGTGTTGAGTTGGAAAACTAACTAAAAGCACAGCAAACTTTAATCCACGCACATTTGCGAAGCACAACTATGGGTCAGCGGTGAAAGATTTAAAGAAAAGTGTGCGAAATTGCCAGGAGAGCGAATGCACAACTGCATTTCATGGTGCTGGGAAAACAAACACGTAATTTCCTTTGAGCGGCTACTTATGCTTTCAACCTACATTCGTTATCCTCCTCCTATTTTGTGACTTTCTGGCTAGTCAGACTGCACTTTGGAATAAAGTTCATGCAAACATCATTTTTTCTGCATGAATCTTGCTGAACGCATACTATATTGCCTTTCCCCAAAATTGTGCAAGGACTTGAAAAAAGGCGAGAAGTGCTTTAAGGCTGTGCAGTTGTAAATGGCGCATAAAAGTGGCAGCAGATTCCAAAGCTACCGCGCCAAACGACAGGAAAATGAGCCACAAAGTGCAGTGCGCTGAAATCAAGGATTACTCCGACAAATATAGATATGCGGGCTGCGCACACCTTACACACAGGCACATACATACTTGTATGTATATTCACATACATATGTTCATGAGCTACGAAACTGCTTTTCCGGCGTGGTGGCAGCCATTGCCTAAAAATTTAACGAAAACCAAAGTTTGTTGCAACTTTACGTGCATCGACCACCGGCGCGCAAGCTCAGGCATGTCGGGAGCCACCCGAACAGCCACCCGCCGACACATGAGGCGCCCGGCTCCGGCCACATGTTAAAACAATCTTAAAAGTTGGCGGGCAACACAATGTGATTGCAAGTGAAATATTCATGAAGTGCACTTTTGACATGCAACTTGAAAGTGGCACGTGAAGAGCCCCTAAAGCTAGAGCATGAACAGTGCGGCGTAGACAAGAAAGACAAGCCATTTATTGTTGTTGCCCTGCTGCTTACTTTGGAGTTGCCAGACCGAACCACTAATTTCACAACAGAACAACAACATCAACTGCCAATGCTTACAGTTAAGCTACCTGCAATAAAATTAATAATTTTCGGTTAAAATCGTATTGGAGTAAATGTTTTTCGCTAAGAACTTTTCTTTGATTTGGTTGATCAGTCCATTCGTCTGTCCGCCTGCTTGTCTGTCAGTTCGGGTGAATGAATTTCGAAATCGGCTGAGCACAAAACTTCTCTTCTTTAAGTCACAATACGAATTTATTTAATTTCTACTTTTTTGCCCCCCTTCTCTCTAAACAGAATTGCGGCAATACTTTCGATGCTACATAAATTTAACTTTGCATATCTTCATTTTAAACTTGAGCTAAAGAACCAATGTCCTTTAAACATTAGAGCATTTCGCATTTTGAAAATTTTCTCAAAGAAAGAAAAGAGTGGACTAAGTGGACTCAAATCCCCAAAATCGCTTTCATATTGGAACATGTCGGTTTGCTGCATAATATCATAAATAAATCAAATTAAATATTGAATATCGTAAATAGTACGTTTATAACGGTAAATGGCTCTTTAATGTTCCGCATATATTTGTAATTTAAGTTGCAGTTCTATCGAGCTCAGCATAAATGAAACACTATAGGAACGTACATGTATTATATTTCCAAACTTGAAACTATAAGAACTTGTGGGAATGTTGTAAATTATATTGCGGACTTGCACAATTACAAATGCAGATGGCAAGTGGTTTGTTTGCTGCGGATTCTAATTAATATGCCAGTGGCAACACGAGCTCTGCCGTCTGGATAGTTCGTTGCACATCTGAAAATTGTACTTTAAGAGCTGTATCAGGTTAAATTTGCGGTATTAAACGCCATTTGCATTCCACAGGGAAAACCGAAACGAGGCCATTATGATGCTTTTTTCGATACAAGCAATTGTAATAGCATATTTTGGTTTCACATGAAATCCTGCGTTGTGGTTTGCACAAACATTAAAAAAACAATAGTATTATTGCTTTAAGGGCAATGAGCGATACTTTCAATTCGATTACGAATTTTTATTTCTGATCTTCGAACGCTGGTGAAGATATGTCAAGGGTAATGCTTGCGAAAACTAATGATGGTGGATTCTTGTCAATTGTTTATGCAGATCTTGAGTTCTTTAGACAGACCGCAGAGGCGCAGATTTTTTTCGGAGTCGTTAAGATTTCGGCGGGTGTCACTGTAGGTGCCGTTAAACTTTTGAACTGATATGTACAGTAATTTTTGTTTGCTTCTTAAATGTATTTGGTAACTACACGATGGTCTCGGTTGGGATCTGGGTATTCTAGATTTTGCCCTTCCTGAGATCCTTAGCACCGTAGAGGAAAACGAACGCTTTTCCCCACTTTGTAAGAGAGATATCTCAGTAGTCGTTAATGCTGATTGAAGCGAACGTTCAATTATCACTCAAATCGAACCTGAACATGTCAGTCATTTCATTATGTATTCCTTATTTCCGGAACATTCGTTTTCAAACTCATAAACCTTTCGTTTCGACTGAATTCTAAATTTTTAGTAATAAAATTCTAAAAATATTTTTGCTCGAAAATTAACAAAAAAAAGTGAGTAAAGCAGTATTATACTTAAGTAATCGAGCTCCATTTATCATATCCTATTCTCTTGCACCTTCACGGTATAAATTATTACTGAAGTTCGCAATGTGTTCTCCGTGCGGACCTTGCAGCCCTTGTGATCCTTGTTGTGCGCCCTTCGAGGTAAGTGATATTGACATTCAAATAAATTTCGTCAATACAAACATAGAACCCGTTTAAAAACTCTAATGCATCTCAATTTGAACTCTCCTTAGTGCTCTCCAAAATGTTACAATGCTGCTCAGTTGGAGGCGCTGCCGCAGTGCGCACCACGTATACCGCCCCCCTTTCCAAAATGCATAACCGTGCAACAGCCGCCACGTATTATTTGCAAAAAACGTGTGGTTTTTACCGAGAAAATTGTGCCTGAGCCCATGGTTGTAAACCGTTGTCGCCAGATCACAATTCCCAAAGTGGTCGACACAACGCGTGTGATCAAGGTGCCGAAATTAATCTGGATTTCGCAGATGGTGCGGGAACCGCGTGTGATCTACTATCCCTCAATGATACCAGATCCTTATGTAGTCTGCTACCCAAAGCGCATCTGCGAACCGCGTGAAGTGTGCCAATCGATACTTTGCCAACCCAAACCACAGACAATAGATATACCTCCGCCCCGGGAGTATTGTTGCTATCCAAACGGACCCATAAACTATAAACCAAGTGCAGCTTGCCCGCCATGCCCAATCGGACCCTGTGCACCAGGCGGTGGATGTTGCCCGTTGCCTTGCTTCTCGACAAATCAATATCCATTGTGTGAACAACGTTGCGGACCATGTGGTCCTGGACCCTGTGGACCCTGTGGACCGTGTGGACCCTGTGGACCGTGTGGACCCTGTGGACCGTGTAGCCCCGGTGGACCGTGTGGACCCTGTGGACCGTGTGGACCCTGTGGACCGTGTGGGCCCTGTGGACCGTGTGGACCGTGTGGACCCTGCGGACCGTGTGGGCCCTGTTAAAGAGAGAATCTGGACTTCCAGCTTAAAATTAAAAAAGCGAGCTTGTTGCCCTCCTTGGTTTTGTAAAGGTAAGGCTCTTCTTTCAAATGATTATTTCATTTCCATATAAGTATTTACAGGGTCGCGTGTTGAGAAAATTGTAATCACTCATTATTGGGGGCTATACTTTCAACTGAAAAACAAAATGGTAAGTTATTGCTGTTGTTGCTGCTTTGACTCAACTCTGTACTGCACACATACACGAACACATAGTGAAGCAGTGTACGTTTTTTTTTAATTATAAAATTGTTAACAGATGATTTCAATGTCGAGACCGATGTATCTTTCATTTATGCGTTAAGCATTCATTTTTATTTATTTTTAATCGAACATAATTTAAACTTCAGTGATTTTCTGCAATTAAGCAGACCACAGTGGAGTACAAATTCTGGCAACTAGACAAGCAACACTATTCCAAGCTTACCTCTGATCACCTAACTCTGCAGCCACTTATGACTCTGCTTCCGGTATCAAGGTACAGAACGGACGGCTATTGCCATATGGTGCAGAAAGCAATATTCCGGCGGGAATTATAGGAAACCCTGTGTCTGACATTGGAAAATTCGCACGAAGACACACAAAGATGCGCACGCGATCTTTTTGATGAAAGTTCATGTAGCTGTCATCAGCGCTGTTCCCGCTCAGGACTCTGAATTGACGATAATGGATATCGATAGAATATAAATATATCTGCACAAGCAGAAGCAAAATAACCGTCTATTTTCAAGTGCTTTCCCTGATATAAACAAGAATATCGAATCCAAGAACGTGGCGGATCCTGGGGCAGATCCCCAAGAGCTGAGTTCTGAAGTGCTGCAAAAGGGAGGTTCGATAGTGAGGACGCCAAAGTCACATCCGATCGACCTTGCAGTCAGATTATATATATAAATAATACTAAATAGAATAAGACTCTAGCTCCCAGTTTGTTATAATTGTGATATAGTATAAATTTAATATAAGTTGTTCTAAATAATAACATTATATAATTCAATAAAAACCACAACAAAGGAATGCTGAGGCGAGTGAGGCAAAAACAAAAATCAAAAGGTTTTTTTTTATATTCTAAACCTGAAAGGCACAAGAGTAGGAAGTGAACAAGAAAGGAATGCTAAAGTCGAGCAGGCTGAACTTTTAAATACCCTATACCACCCCACCAAAAAAAAAAAAAAAATTATTAAAATAATTTAATTATTTAATTAAATTAAATATAAAATTTTCCATACACGCATACATACATTTACATCAGGATCGTGTCTATGCGTATTTGTGTATTTGTACATATGTATGTATATGTGCGGGCTCAGGGGAATCTGTATACCAAGTTTGGTTATTCTAGCTCTTATACTTTCGGAGATCATTGCGTTCATACAGACAGACAGACAGACAGACGGACAGACGGCCATGGCTATATCGACTCGGCTTGTCATGCTGATCAAGAATATATATACTTTGTGGTGTCTACCAAGCCTCCTTCTGTGTGTTCCATGTGCACTGGCACAAAACTAATATACCCTTGTACCCTTTGGGTCCATAAAACCATGTCCGTCTATTGCTTTTATAATAAGAGTCTCAGTTTTGAAGTCATTGATAAGTTTTATGTAATATTGCGGATTCTTTGATTATAAAAAACATATGTGTATTAAAATTTTGGTTTATGAGCGACTCGTATGTACTTGGTTTTTAGCTTAAGATCTAACTTTATATATTTAGGTAGGTTTTCTATATTTGAAACGATTAAAATATTTAGAGAGTGAGCATTTGTATATTTTTATATAATTGAAAGTATGTTATTAACTTTAATTACAAATAAACGCTATATTTATTACAATTTTGGTTTAAGAGCAAAAAGTACAATTTCACCGCAGCGCTGTGGGGCTAACGTAGTATATACTTGTTTTTATTTTAGCTTAGATGTAAGGGCGTGTTCTACGAAAATCAATGGAATGTAGGGTTGCTTTTTGTGGGATGGCTTGCTGTAAATAAATTTTAAAGTTTTTCACATGTACATGAGCACACTTGACTGGAATTTGGCTTTTTGCTAAATGGGTCTGCAGTTGTTGTGAGGTAGATGCGTGATTTTTGGGTAGCCAGGTAACAGATTACGCATATGCCATGATAAAGTGGCAATGGGCAGGATGTGGATGTGAATGGGAGGAAGAAGAAAATAGGAGGGGAGGGGAGGGGGGCGGCAGCTCACTTACATGCATACGGCTGGCTCACTTACAAAGACAAACAAACGAGCGGGAAACAGACTAAACGAGGGATAGCCGGAACACAAATGCAATGTGTCACCTTTATGGCGACAGGAAAATGAAATCACGTTGCCCCTCACGTGACAAATGTAATGATATATGTATGTTTGTTTGTGTGTGTGTGAGTCTCTCTGTCTATGTTGGGCACGTTCGTGACGGAGGATGACGACTTGGCCTATTGTTGCTGGTGTTGTTGCTGTTGCTGACGACAACGAACGACACCGACTGCGACACGTAGCAAAATGCGCATTAAATTGTGAAAAATGGAATTTGGGCAAATCAAAAGCGTATTACAAACCCAAATAAGTAAGACGCAATGGCGCAAAGTTTTTGTCGGCCAGAAACGTGCAACACGAAAGACCAGAAGTAGCAATAACAGTGGCAGTCGCAGTAGAAGTAGAAGTAGAAGTAGAAGCAGAAGCAACAGCAAACAAATCAATGTCAGGCGCAATGTTATGCCCAGGTCGAGATCTTAGCACAAGGCCTGACAATACACAAAGAGGCGCGTTACTGCTGACATTTTGGCCACGTGATCGACTTACACATTTGGCTCCGATTCGGGCAACTCCCATATGGCAGCTGGCACACGCTCACAAACGCATGTCGCCAATGTCAACGCACATGAATATCTCAGAGCATATTTATTGACTTGTCGCCGCCGGTGGTAGCGACATTGCCAACCTCTTGGACCGACCTCATAAGCTGTCACGACAACTTTCGCCTCATCATCAGCTGCTGGAGCAACAGCGGATGGCGCCACGGCATTTGGCTGCCTACTCGTGCACTACAACCATATGCGAGGTTTGATTCGAAATCAGTTCTAAGAATTATGTTCAGTAACTCATTGCCTAGATTTGAGACAGCAGCAGATAGTGGTGTAGTGGGTGTTCGATATATATTATCGATCTTTATTCATTTGAGCATTTGTTTGTGTATTTCATTTTCTGAGTCCGAGTCGTAATCTAATAAATAAATAACTTTTAACTATATTTAAAAAGACAGAGACTTACATGGTGTACTTTATTTTTTAGGTAAATATATAACTTGACCTTCTTTACTATCAGTTTTTATATACTGGAATATATATAAAAATAAATGTGTACAAAGGACTATAGTAAGAATACCACACCAGAGAATTATAATTGATTATAATATGGAACTTACATTTGAATTGTAGTACCAAACTCTTTTTGAAGTGAATTTAATTTTAAATATTGATTTTATTCACAACAATTGCTTAAAAATCTTTGTTTTGCCTATGATTTGAAAAGACCACCTTGAAACATGGTAACAGGTCTGAAAATTTGAAGCTTTTTGGTTGAAACCTCGCGCCTTGAATTAGCTGCTTGGCGTACCTTTAGGCGCGGCAGCAGGCGGCAAAAGTTACGTGGTGACATTGCCACCGACTAACCCGACGAAGCGCTACCGCACGTCCCTCACACCTACAACATTTTTCACACTCAATTGCTTTGGAACCTTTTCACGGGATCACGCGCGCACTGCTCCTGGCAGGCTCTCGACTGGTTCCCAGCTACTTAGCTTATGTGTTGCATGCAACACGGCGGCCGGGGTGGCGACGATGGCAACGATGATTGCTCGTGTGAGCGCCCTTTTGTGTGCGACTGCGGCACAAAACAAACAGGCAGGACACAAACATTGTCGCCAGCTTCGAGTGCTTTTTAGTTTCCTCTCCCTTTTCCGTTGACGGCTCCTTTTGCCACCGTCAGTCTTTTCGAAGTCACTTTCTTCATTTTTATTCTTTCTTTTTGTATATAAATTGTGTTTTTTGATTGTTGTTGCCGTTTTTGGTGACATTTTTATTCACTCGTTATATTCGCATGCACACACATCTATACATATACATATATATGTATGTGTTCGATTGTGAGTGTTGCTGGGCGGCGTCTGCATATCAGATTAGCGCATATATCATACGTAATGGTTTTCAAATGACGGCAATGATTTCAATTTCATGATAAAAACTGCGGAAATTCATGAGTGGGAGGAGAAAAAGGGAGCGAGGCGGCTGTGAGGGCGTAATGTTTGTAAAAGCGAAAGTCAAATTATGTTCCATTTGGCTGGGCAACGAAACGTTTGAGTGAGACAACGACAATGTAGGATAACAATGGCTTTAAGATATTATGTGAACGAATTTCATTAAAGAAACTTTAAGATTTTTATTTGTAGAGCCAGAGCCTTCACTGAAAGTGTAAGGATTGCAATTAGAAATAAGAATGATAGAACATATGATATTATTTCTAATAACGATGTCCCCTTCTCTGTCCACTCACAGTCTGTTTCAATCAATGCTTCACATAAAGTTTTTTTCTCTTTTTTTGGGTTACAATCGTTTACATCGATGCTTGGTTTTGTCAAGACGCACAATGTCCGATTACTATTTGACATTATACGGATGTCATAGAATCGATATGAATGGGGAACAGTTTCGTGAGAAAAACCATTCCGTATAAGAACTATTACCAAATTGCATATTGTATGAATTGTTGTCATACCTGATTATATTGCATCGCTCGCGTGCCATGAAAAGTGACAATGGCTGACGAAAAATAAATAAAGAAAAACTATTCCAAATAAAAGACTGCATAGTACGAATATAGTAAGGTATATACATACTTCACAGTGATTGATATATGAATAGCTTCGACCCAGTCTTAGATAACTTCTTAGCTTGTTAATTCCACATTTTGGAGTACGATAAAGAAGAGTCGTGTGTTAAGTAAACTTATAAATTTTGGCAGACATTTGAAAGCAAACTTAATGTTTCTTTTGGTTAAGTCATGCACAAATTTAAGGGAATACTCGTATGCCGGCCACGGTCTCGCCCGCTGTTTGACAGAGCTGCCTACTTAGTTAGTGTATTACAAACAGATTCGTTTTTTATATTTTTTTTCGGCCACTGTGCGTATGAGTAATCTGCGTACTCTTTTATTTGTCAGGGCTTTACTTCACTATATATATTTACGTATTTATTTTCCTATATCGTAGTCGTAGCCGTGGAAACTCGCAAGTCAGCAGTGCGGCAAAAAAAGAAAGGCAGAGCAGTGCTTGCTTTTGGCTAGTGATTGACGATAATTGACTGTCGCCAGCATGCGACATCAATCATGGTGTCCAGCATGACGAGCAGCGGCACTGGCAACAACAAAAGCAGCAACAGCATGAGAGAAACATGTAAATTGCACACGATAAAAACGAAATTGAAATCGGTAAACAAAATGATAAAAATCTTGATTATTTATGCGGCAGCAAACAGGGACTGTGGGAGATGGTGGATAACTTTATCCTGGCATGGGGTGCTGGCCCGCAAAATGCTGCAAATTCATGCTATTTGTTTGCGTTTAGTGCGAAATGGAATGAAGTTGAATATGAAATGACATTCAGACAAGGACGTTTGTCAGCAAAGCAGCTCCAGAAATTGAAGTTTGTGTGTTATTTGGATGTACGTATTTATTTTTCTGCATTCCACCAGAAAGGAGTCTAGAAACTTCTGCAATATAACGAATTCATATAAAATATTATAATATTGCTGAAGCAGTGAATATTCTTCTCTATTGCTCTCATATTCTTCTATTTACATATATCCGATTTGTATTATTAGCATGAATTATTGATTTCCGTTTCAAAATAAAATTGAACTCAAAAACTAGGTTACAATAATATCAATGTTTTCTTTTAAAGAATTATTGTCTTTGTTTTATTTTGTTATATTTTCTATTTGAATCCAGTTGGGAAATTAAACCA